TCTCAATTTGTCGACAATATCGGGTTATTTTTCTTTTCGGTACGCATGCCCTTCGTTTTCACCATAGATGATTCGCCGAGGGATGGTATCTGACCATTTAGCAACTTGCTTCGAGCGCGCAACCGACTGAGTGTTTGGCTGTGGGTTATATTTGGATACCCCCTTTAGCCGATACTGCTTGGCTCAGTTCTGAGCTGCGAGTTTGGCCTTTTTCAACCGGATGTTGAATACGAAGATGTGGTAAAGTGATTAAGACAAGAGACCTACCCGTTGCGTTGGGCGTGAGAGCCAGCAGATAGCAGGCGTCAGTTTAGTCCGAGAAGGATTCTGACTGGAAGATTACGGACTAGGATGAGTGACTCTCGATCTCAATCCGATCTCTCGATCTCGATCTGTTGTAGACACGATCCCTCGATCTTGATCTGATCTCTCGATCTCGATCTGTTATGTACAATTCGGTGTGGGTCACGCCAAGATTTCGGAGAGAATACACTTGATGTAAACCACAGAGGTACAAGGAGGGCGACCTCTTGGGAGGGAGACGCGTGGCTTCGAAAATCGTGTGATAGATAGGCCTAGCGATGTGTTAGATTTTTGGATTTATTGGTTAGCATTAAACAGTGTTCGCTTTGCTTCTAAGGGCACGTATCGCTTTTGATTACGGGTTGGATGATTGGCCATCCGACGTCAAGAATAGTTGCATACTTTAATCAAGTTATATCTCTGGATTGTTTGGCCAGGGATAAAGGGCTCTCAACATAAACTTCAACTGCGATCGGGCGCAGCGAACACGTAGAGGCAAAGGGTGCAAGATCGCGAGACGGCCCAAGTGATCAGACGGCTCGCAGGTCAAGCATATACTCTGAACATAGGCGATCTCGTAGAGATCAAGGTGACTCATACCGATTACCTTACAAGTACACCCACTCTCGTGTGAAGGTTTCCACGCGACAGCACCAATATCAACCACGGTCAAGATTGGCATCGACTCGATTTCATCTGGAAGAGTGAAACCCGACCCACCGACGGGTACACAAGGTGAGCAAAGCATACAGAACGGAATCAGAGTACCCCCTCCGTTAGTCGGTCGTCCGAGAGCTAGTGGAGAGTTGGGGTCGACTCCTTCAAAAGATCGATCACCACTCCACCACACACATTTTAATGCTGTGCAAAGCAACCAAGATCGATTAATTCGTTTCCGCATCACTTGCTTATATCATGATCTCAGAGTAGGCCCAGGGATGTGCGGATTTCCCCACTACAATTCTGAAATGTTAAGATGGTTGCGGCGCTGCGGTTTCCAAACGAAGCCTAGTATTGATCAACTGCAACGCGCGCTGCAATTTGTGGCCTTTAAAAATCTGCATTTACGAGACCTTTTCGCTGATAATGCGACATATGCAGTATGGCGTCAGTGATGCATGAGCCCCCTCTGCTGTCGATGTTAATGTATGAGCGAGATGTTGGCAATCGCTGGTTCATGCTGCGACAAGCTTCTGTTTGTGCACAAGCCTTCTTTGACTGAAATAAGTGCACACTGCCGGCAAATTCTAAAAGCTCGGTAAAAATGTGATCCTTGCGACTTGAAACTTGTCAAGCGTGCAAGTCTGACAAAGGCCGGTCCACAGAGTCAGGAGTGCCTCATTACGGTCGTTTTCTTTAAATCTTGCCTCCGTGTATGAGAACATTCTTCAATGTGTCATAAGCACAAAATGTGTCGGGAGTCAGGCGCAACACGTTCCAATGATGCTGCCAACGACGCGTTTGGATCGGATACTACCTCAGTCGGAAGTGTTCCATTGAGATACAGCTGGCCAACCTTCTTGAAGGCCCACCTTAAATTATGTATACCTTCTTCGCTAAGAAAGGCGCATCCGATCAAAAAGCTGGTGTTGAAGTTTGTGCCGCCAACGAAGTACCGCAACGGCATTTGGAAGCGGTTAGTCTTGTAAGTGCAGTCTATCAAGAGCACTATACTGAATAGGTTATAGAGCGCCGCAGATTCCACATGCGATAAAAATAGGTGTGTCACGCTACCATCATTGCTGCATCCGAGCGCGCAATTATAATTATCGAATTCAAGCTTCTCCATTAGCGCTTGATTAGGTTTTATATCGAATAATAAAATGCGACGACGTATTGCTGTGGCACTTTATAATTTTTTGTGACCGTAAAACATGCTGGGTCCCCTGAGCGATGTCTGCATTTGGCGCGCAGGCACACCAGCTTCTATCATCTTCTCGGCAGAATCAGTGCATCTTTGTTTAGATCTGACAACTCGAATGTCCAGCAAAGCTGGTCGAGGGGTCCTGACTATGCTCGAAGCACTTTACATCAAGATACCATCCATCGTTCCGCTGCATTCAAACTGTTTTCTAAATGAAGTCGGTCAAACGCATCATGCTTTCACGATGGTTCTTGTCTATCACAAGGACTGTCTTTTGATTTCAAAATAAGCCGCCAAGGTCACAACCCAGTTACAAACGCAAATGGAGGCGCGATTTGTCTGATCGCCTGATTGTGAATGCGAAACCTGCCTCCAGTCCAAACTTCTGGACATAATCTGTAAACGCGTCTCGATTAGCACAAAACGGCGTGTGTGTTGCGTTTAGCCATGATGAGGTGGTGTGGTAAGATAGTGTGGAGGTGTGGTGCTGTTTTAATCAAACAAGAGTTATGATGTGGGGGGACTTATTAAAGTGTGCTGTGGCGCAATTTGTGAAGTGTGGTGTGGCGGAACTTGTTCAAAGTGTGGTGGAACGTGCTATAATTGTAGTGTGGTAGCGATTGCTAAATGTGTGGTGGACATATTATAACAAGTGGTAAGAATCACAATTCACTTATAGTTTCCTGGCTATCGAAAAGGCCGAGTTATCAGATTGTTAATTTTTCTGATTTTTGAGGTAGTATATAAAAGTAAATCAATATTTTGTCAAACAACCAAGAAAAATTATAGCCGTACCTAGTGATATATGCTCCTAGAAAAAAAATTAAAAATTACAAATTAAGAGGCACGAGTTTTCGATTGATCGTCATCTGCCTCCACATTTGAGATCACATGTGTCGTGTTTTGAACAGACTCCAGGATTGTGCACCTGCATCAACATTTGGATTCAATGCCAAGCTTCACAACGTTCTTACATCAAAATCGAACGGCTCGACATTGAAGACGCAATGGACGACATCCGCACCGAGAGCTAGCGCTTTGACGTCTACATAATGCAGCAACAGAGCTGTAATTGTTGCACAAGTGTATGGATTGCAAACGATCAAGTGTCGTGTGCGACCGGGCACAAACCAGGGGTTGGTCTGTAATTCCGTCAGTGTTCCATGACACGCCGTACGTGTTCGACATGCAAGAGATCAAACGACTGTCAGAATTGATGTAAAGCATTTGGCAACAGGTGGACCATAACCATGTTAGGCTTTCTATTCGCGAACTCCAGCAAGCATATACGTATTTCGTACAAAGAGACTAGATTGCTATTTCGTCGCGCGTAGTTGCGCAAACGATATCACTATGCAACAAGGTCCAGTGATTAGCAAGCTAGCTTTATGCCGTTCTACGCACATGACAATTCAATGCAAGACACGTGTTGTTGCATCTACTTCCAAACAACCTACACGCGCCAAGAAGCTGACATGCTTAACTAAGATATCAAGTCAATGTTATATAGTTTCTTACGTACAGCGCGTCGATTACTGAAGGTACCAGCTGCCGACATGCATGCAATGTTAGTTCATTACTAGCGATGTTTCGTTATTTTCAGTGATCAGTAGCGCTCGATAGGCGCAGCAGCTAAGGTCTCGTTCATTACTCGTTGTATAGGGTATCATCTCCGTCGTTGCATGTCTCGGAGAAATGTTTTTTATCAAGTAAGTAAGCGCGTCTCACCAAGGACGCGTGCCGACGCTGTTATGTATATCAGTTGACCGTTTATTGTAGGCAGCTTTTATAGCATCGAGACAACCGAAACGACACGTTCGCTGTTTCCAAATGCAGCAGGGAAAATCACGATCACGCGTGCCAAATTCATAGGATTCAACGCTTGAGGCTCCTCGCTCCAGTAGTTGCCATCGTCCGTACGACGAGCGTTCTTACGCCGACGACCGCATCAAAAACGCATCGAAGCATCTAATCAATGTCGAGATTGCGTTGTTATGTCAATATATCGATGTAGTTTTGTGCATTTGTCATTTATCGTAGGCTACTTTTCTGACGAGAAAAAGAACAAATGTCTGAGTTATGTGCATATTGTAGCAACATGAAAGAAATGGTAGCAATATTGTAATCGCGTCACGCGATGATACGTGCAATGGTCGATCTACAGTTTTTGAACAGAGAGATGAGCGACAGATTATAAATAAGCTCGTGTCTCGTATGTAGTAAACGCCGTGAAGCAGACCTTTGATTGACTGTGGCTGGCTGTAATGAGGATAGCAGCCAAGTCGATACTGGATGCAGCGCACTATCGAAGTGACTATTTCCAGGGAAAACCACATATGTGGGGTGTGTGAGAGCATCTAGGTCATTGGAATCTCGAACAACACTCCATAGTTTCAATGTATTTGCTCGAGGCGATGTAGGTCTTCATTATATATCCCAAGCGCTATGACGATTGACTAGTGAGAACAAAGCAGTGTTACCCTAGACAAAATGTTTTATGATATCGCCGGGAAGACATTCTGGTGAATGACGCATTTCCTTACACCGTTTAGCTAGGTATGCATCGACTAGCCGATTGTAGTCAGGTTGAAAGTCCGTGGCAATAAGCGCTTCTTCCTGTGGTGTTGTGCGAGTGCACCGTTTGCTAAAGTCGTGTGGAGCGTCTGTTAAGGCGCTTGTATAAGCAGCCGATGACTAATCTTGGGCGGGCTGCAACGCGCCTTACGGGGTGGCGATACCTGTTTCTGCAACGAAATTGATTGCAATGACAATCAGCACACGGGATTCAAGTTCAAATCGGAACGAACGCCTTTTACAGAACTGGCAAACAATTCTACGTGGGTATCGATGACCAGGGTGTATGTCCTTGAAGCAGTTTATTCTCGATCGCTATCGCAAGTTCCATCTCTTGTGCACTTGTCTCAAAAATACGTTCAAAAGCCTTCATAAGTTGATATGGTAATTCATCCTCGCCCCGGTAGCGTTGGAAGACCATGATATATGCCCACAGTTCCTCAATTGGTACACTACCGTGCAGTAGCTTCGCGACGGCATAGTCATCGAATTCGCGATGTTCTCGGTACAAGCGCACATACTTCATGACCTGTTTGAACCTTTCACAAATGTCGATCTCCACTGACGAACCCATTGTGGCGCGATATTGCAACGGATTCAAGTCAGACCAAGGCATCATTTTGATTGCGACGTGAGGTTCAACACCAGCCTCTGCCCACGTGTTTAGAATCAACGATTCAGTCACATCTCGGTACTTGGCCAGCAACATTCGATCCGCTTTCTCTGCAAAGTGACGTAGATGCTCCTTTCCTCGAAGATACTCAAAATACGCCACCACGTTTTCTGGTATGGCTTCTGTCATCAGGGTGTTGACGACAAAAGATTCAGACTCGTAGACATTATTCAAGTATGTTTGAAGTCTCTCATCACGTGTCACGCCAGCCGTCTTCATTTGTTGAGTGAAGAAGTCTTCACTATACTGCAGAAATAGATCGAGGTGTTCATCGATCTCAGAATACCTTGCGGGCTCCCGAAGGCCAAAAGTGAAGAGCTCCTCAGAGATGGGCAGCATATAGAAGACTTCCTCAGGGTGTACGCAAGCCTTTCGACACGCATCGAGCACCAGCTTTGCAGCGTCTTTGTATTTCACGGCTAGCGCTCTCAACAAGTCGTGGGCTATGTGATGCATACCGTCGACGTCACGAGAGCGAATCAAGGTCGCCATTGATCGTTTTGTTTTTTTGTCGATGATCCCCATTGGTTGAACGGCAGCATCGGCGGTAGACGTTGGACCGCGATCCACCTGTGATTGAAGGTGTGAAATCGCCTCCCTGAGCTTCTTAGGAAGCGCATTTTCCTTCACTAAAGCGCCCGACGGATCGGTGTTGCGTCTTGGGCGGATAAGCTTTGGAATTCTACTCACGACTGACTTCATATCGGCTAGCGTTGAGGTCACCGACGGCCTGAAACCTCTCTCCTCGTTGTGCGGGTGGACGTGGTCGTCCTCGGAATTCGTCGGGTCGCGTACTCCCAAAATTCTTGGTGTGTCAGACTCGTCGATCTTCAGATGAGAAGCAAGAACGGGCTTGTCGAGAGGGTCATTGACGGTGCGATTACCAGCTGGTGATGACGTAGGTTCTGCAGCGGTCCACTGTAAGGCAACAAAGGCCGTGAACAGAGGAAAAACATAGCGCATCGCGTCGACCGAGCAATTTGTGGAATGAGAAACCACATTGCGAAACATCGTGGTTGCAAGCTCTGGACCACCCAATTGCCGCCTAGCATTTGACCGATGGAGCTGGTTTTCAAATCTGGTCGCCGTGTCAGACCCCACCGTCTCTCACTTGTCTCAATTATACTCTGCGGCGACTACCAGCTCCCTAACCTGGTCGTCGCACTACTTTGCAGCGACTACCAGCTCCCCAGATCTGGTCGTCGCACTGTTATGTGCCATTCGCTAGCTCCTAGATCCGGTCTGCATACTTACTCTGTGTCAGCCGGTACAGGTCAGATCTGATATGCGTACTTACTCTGTGTCAGCCGGTACAGGTCAGATCTGGACTCCGACTTTCTCTTTTTTATCAAACGTTTTCGCAGAAAATCGAGAATAAAGTCAGGCGGCTAAAAACTCATCAGCCGGTCACAGATAGAGGTCATAAATAGACTTCGGAGCAAACCTATGAGGACGTCTATACGCGCAAGTGTACTGGCAGGCTACAATAACAACTTCGATAGGTTGGTCGCAACATGCATGATTGTGCGAATCATTCTCGGGCCAGAAACATACCGAACCGCCACCAACAGCCACCGAACAGGCCTACCAAGCCCGTGAGGATGAGTGGACACCACGTTCCCTCCACTTTGTTTTGTGTGGAGCTGAATAAAGGAGAACATGGTGGCGCCTCAGCTTGGTGTGCATTACAGCCGTTTGAATCTAGCAAGACCGAGCTGAGTTCGTGAGCAACGAGGTCATCGTCGAAGGAAATGCTGAAGTATTGACTCAAGGCTGTCTAGGCAACTGCGTGTCAGCTAAACGAGAACGGAGAGAGGCACATAGTGACGAGTGAAAGGTGCCCGCTTGTTGTTGTGCCTTTATGATCTTGGCACAGATTAACAAGAGTATCACACGCAGCATCGAGTCGCATTCAACTGCCTGAATGAAAGCAGACACTGGCGTTGCTACTCTGGCTTTGGGGTCGATAGATATCTTGCGGGTGATCATTCTCAAATTTTCACGGTTCAGCTCAAGCCAGTCTTTTTCCCTTCGGGGCAGTCACGTCGGAGGGAATCCTCCCCTTGGGGAGCCGACGTGGTCGAAGATCTGACGCGGGCACGCTGCACTCGCAGTCGCGGGTGTGGGCGTAGGAGACCGACGGGTCGCGCAAGCGGCCCTAGCAGGGGTGTTTTACGGACTGGAGGCGTACCCCGCGCCACGTGTCGCCGCTGCGGCGAGCGCACACTCCACGTCAAGGGGCCGCGCGAGCGGCTGAAGGGGCCACCATCGCCGATGGTTGAGCTCCTCGGAGAGATATATGGCGGGTTGGCGTTCTCCACGCCACGCAGTCACTTCGGTGATCGCACTCCACGTCGGGGGCCGCGCAAGCGGCTGAAGGGAGCCACCATCGCAGATGGTTGAGCTCCTCGGAGAGATATATGGCGGGTTGGCGTTCTCCACGCCACGTAGTCACTTCGGTGATCGCACTCCACGTCGGGGGCCGCGCAAGCGGCTGAAGGGAGCCACCATCGCAGATGGTTGAGCTCCTCGGAGAGATATATGGTGGGTTGGCGTTCTCCACGCCACGCAGTCACTTCGGTGATCGCACTCCACGTCGGGGGCCGCGCAAGCGGCTGAAGGGAGCCACCATCGCAGATGGTTGAGCTCCTCGGAGAGATATACGGCGGGTTGGCGTTCTCCACGCCACGCAGTCACTTCGGTGATCGCACTCCACGTCGGGGGCCGCGCAAGCGGCTGAAGGGAGCCACCATCGCAGATGGTTGAGCTCCTCGGAGAGATATACGGCGGGTTGGCGTTCTCCACGCCACGCAGTCACTTCGGTGATCGCACTCCACGTCGGGGGCCGCGCAAGCGGCTGAAGGGAGCCACCATCGCAGATGGTTGAGCTCCTCGGAGAGATATATGGCGGGTTGGCGTTCTCCACGCCACGCAGTCACTTCGGTGTTCGCACTCCACGTCGGGGGCCGCGCAAGCGGTCCTAAAGGGGTTTGTTGCCTTATATGGCAGCATACCCGCGTTGTACGTGCTGCCGCTCCGGCGGTACGCATGTCCCCAGTCTACTTGGTCGCGCCAGCGGTCATGATTGACTCGTAGTTGGCTTCGGTAGGAGGGTCTCTGACCTCGTTGCCGTCGCCCCTGGCTCTACGGAGCCCTTTAGTTGTCGACCCGATGCCCGGGCCGTACTTCTTGTCACACTTATCAGTCGTTAGTTATCATAATAATGGACGTACTTGACACCACCACCACCACCTATCTTGCGGGTGAAATATTGCTGTGCAGACTGTCTCTATCACTCCTCAGTTCTGCACTTGCTCTGTGTCATCCGCAAGCACCAGGATCTGGTCCTTGATTTTGCCCTATCTCAAAGAATGGGGGTCGTAACGCTTATCACCAAAACCGGGCCAGACTCATCAGCTGATCCGGTCCAAGCCTTGCTTCCAATTATGTACGTACGATGTGCGTGTGTGCTTCTCGCTGGCCGTGCGTCGGGACAAGCGGTACTGTCTCCCGATGTACGCACCGCGTCTTGATGACAAGTCTGCGAAAGATAAACAGAATATACATATTCTGTATCGGATGGTATTGACGGCTATGTCTTTCCTTTTTCATCCGTGTTCACCCACATACATACCACAGGGTCAACATTCATACATAGTACGACACATCCAGACAGGAAGATAGCGTGATAAGAGACCATTTGAGACCTGAACGAAACTACACGACTTCCGGACAAAAATATGTACACAGACAGCACGACGAAGCATAGAATGGTGAATATACTGCAACAGTTTGACGAGGCTAGACGGCACAGAGTATAGCGTATATACTCTGCTGTGAGTCAACCCTCACAGCAGAGTAGCAATTAGACCTATCATGTATGAGCAATGCGTCGTTATTGAAACGAAGGCTCACATTTCTGTCCAGCTGCCTGGACTCGACAAGGGAGACCGAAGGTGATCTGTGACTTCAAATATTGCTCGACCTCTGATTGATGAGTGATGATTGATGGGGTCGGCAGGAGTCATGGCGGTTAAATGGGGGTTTTCGTGAAAGTGTTCCTCCTCGTACTGCAAGCACGTCGCTTTCATTTCTTGACGATAAACAATAAATCTCATTTTGCCATGTGCTTCTCGTTACGCACCTACTCACGATTATTGCCGAGGTGTGCTACCTGCCGAAGCGCTAAAGCTGTTATCATGTGGTTGAGGTACATCATTAGCGTACTTGTAGATGTGAATAACTCACGGACGAAAACTCTATAAAACAGAAGGTAAAATGGAAAGTGAAATAACTGTATCAACGTAGACATGTACTTAGCTCGATCGTTCAACCAGAAGAAGCGACCAAGAAGATTCTTATGGATGTTTTTCTTTACCTGCTCTTCAACAGCTAATAACGAACGAAACCGTCGATTCACAGAAACCAAAAGACTTATGTCAGTACGATGCTCAACCCGTCCACTTGTATTTCATCGTCAACACTCCTACTCGACGAAAAGTTCCAACGCTTGACTTTGGTCACAAAAAGGTGGAACTTTTTGTCGAACTCGTTTAGATCAGGAGGTCAGCTGATAGCAGCCGAGTCTTAACGTACTCCAGGTGTATAGTTTCGGCCATGCCGTGATCGCGTATAAACTAATAGCGACTATCAATGTTCTTCGCACGATTCTAGTGTCCTCCGTTCTTAGCAACTGCGATTGCGCTCTGGTTGTCTTCCAATAGACTGACTTAACCGTCGATCTTGGTCTTGTGTATATTGTAGAGATCGAGACGAACGATTCTCCATTCATTGGTCCTTGTCTTCACACTTGACCATATTGTGACCTTCCACACTTGAATTGTTTACCGGTTTTACAGTGACTTGGTGAAACTTCGATACCATTTTGGCGATGCATGCACCCTGAACGATCTTGAGGTGTTTGACACCCACAATTGCACTCGACTTCGATGCCGAGAATAGAACGCATTTCATCTAGCGTTTTTAGCTGAAAATGACTTGATAGATCATCTGCGACCTCTTTGACTAAGTCAGTAGAAACCTCTCCAACAATCATATCATCGACATACCCTGAAAACGGGTCATCGTGACGAACCAAGCGCAAGCGTCCGAAACGCATACTTTAAATCACATGTTCACAAAAACACATGTAATTGTCTTAAAAACGTTGCAGCAGTTTACTTTAGTCCGTACAAACTTCGATTAGCTTTAAAACTTGTTCAGGCATCATTCTTCGCCTGACGCGTGTGACTATACACATCTCCAACACACCATTCTTTAATGCCTTTCAATATCGTACTGATGAATATTCATACATATATGACAGCTTACTGCCCGAAATACACAAATTAAATGTAAGTTTGCGACAGGTGTTTACGTCTCGTCATAAGCTCTTCCATAGGTTTGACGATAACCCACTGCCACTAATCGAGCCTTGAAGCGGGTTGTTTTTTCAC